TGAATTTATGATATTATTTTATTTTAGGTTTTTATAATTTAAATAAAATTATGAATTCTAGTGTTAAATTATTTTTATATATATTCATTGGTTGACAAACTTGATTCATTTTTTAAACTTGAAATTTAACATAATTAATCCATATAATTATTAAACAAATTGAAAATTCAAATCGCGGTAGCATTTATAATTCATTTTTTTTATTTTCATGATTCATTTATAAAAAAAAAAAAAAAGAAAGTTGGATTCGTTCTTCAAACTATTAGCACTACCTTGATAGTTGACATTATTAAATTATGGTATCATCCAATATATATTAATGAAGTTGGGTATTATCAATTCATTTATAAATTATATTCATTTTAAGAATCTCAAAAAATCATCTAACTTTTAAATTAAAAAAAATTACTTGATACATTAATAATAAAATTTTTTAATTTTACGAAAGAAATTAAGATGGTGATTTATTTTTTAAATATACACTAAAAATTATGTATTATTATTTTAATTTTATCTATGAAATTAAAAAAATTTATTGTAATATATTAAATAATTAAAAAAATAGAAAAATGTTTCCTGTCCTTTAAAGGAAGTAATATGTCTAAAAGGCAATTGTAACTTTCCTTTGCGACGAAGAAGAAGATAACAAGTTCAAACAAGTTGTTAGTCAACAAATCTTTGACTTTATCACGTGGAAGCTGACGATGAGTGGGCATCCACATGGCATAAAGTACCACGTGGCATGCAAAAAGGGTGGGCTCCATCAGCTCGAGCTTTTAACGACCTCGGTACTCACAATATCGTACTACCGACGACATTGCCATGCATTTATATTTGTTTGTTTGACTATTTTATTAACACCTCAGCCCACTCTCAATTACCCCCTTTTCCCACTTATCACCTCGATATAAAGGGAATAATGGAGGTGTATAGAATTTTTAAAAGGATTTTGTTCGTAGGCATGCATTTTTTAAGATTAATTAATATTTTATTCACATTATTATTTTCTCATTAAATGCACTAATTGATAGTTAATATGTTAGATTGCTAATGCATTAAAAACATTATATATGTTACTTTATATAATTTTTTTGTCAAAAAAATTTAAAAATAAAAAAAATTATCTCATTTTCAAAATTAAAATAAATCATAAATTCAATTAAAATTTTGAATCCATTAAATTTTTACTTATAAATTTTTTAAACTTATAAATCGTCTATCAATAAAAGACTATAAGATAATTCAAATATAAAAATTAATGCAACCGACATTCACTATTTACCATTTTTGTTAATCTTCGTTGGCATATAAAAATTTTAAATAACAATAGTAAAATAATATTATTTAAATGTTTAAACTATTATTTAAACTATTATTTAAATAATATTATTTGGAAAATGAAACAACATCAAGTAGACAACTACTTGATGAGATGTTATTGTCATTTTGTCAAATATCAACTATTCTATTGTCCAATCCTAACTGAAATGTAACATCAAGCATGACTTAATCAATGAACTTGTCACAAACTATCAATTTTTAAGTTCCAATGTGTCCATAGAGACATGATATTTGAACCCTTTTTCACACAAATTTAAAAAAAAGAAAAAAAACCCAAGTTACTCTACTTATTTTGTTAGATAAATTTCCACCCAATTTTGGAATGTCTACAATACCTAAGTAAATTAATCAATTTGGCTCACACACCATTTTTAATTTTTTTTTAAGGAATTGAAATGTTGCATGCATTCATGGGGAATAATACTTGAATAGAATTTAAAAAGATTTGAATTTTATCGTATTTTTAATATAATATAATTAAATTTATTATATCATTGATTAAATTTAATAAAATTTTTATAAAATTTTAATTATAATTATAATAATTTTATCGACGTTAGATCCCTTATAAATTGAGTGTTGTCTCCCAAAACATAAGCACTTAAAAAATAAAAAATAGTTAAACATCAATAAAAACACTAGCCCCTCCTAGCTAGCTCCAACTCAAAAATGGAAGAGAGGGGACATTTTCCTTTTTCCTAGTTGTTGTTGACACGGCAGCGTTTGGTCTGGAAGAAAACGAAGGCAGTAAAGAAATAAAAAAGTGGCTTTTACTTTGCCTAACTCTGATTAAAAAATGATTAAAGCAGTAATTAAAAAAATGATTAGGTTTTATTTCATACTTTATTCCTGGAAGGAGTTGACATTTGACAAAACCCACTGACCAGTTTCCTCTACTTTCCCCATGAGACTGAAACAAACAACGTCAGCAACTGTGAGGGTTACGTCTAGGTTAAATTTAGACATGACAAGAGAGGGTCCCACGTGACTGTCCGAGTTGTTGACGCTTGATATCACAGTCACTTCATTACAACCTGTCTGTCAAAACTCTTTTTATTATTATTATTATTATTTTTTACATTCGGGTCAAGTGTTTTACTCTGTGAGTGTGATACTGTTTTTGGGAAGGTACCAAATCCGTGATTCAATTTATTTCTTTTTGGGGTTTGGTTTGTTAACTTCGATGATTCAAGAGTTTTTTTTTTTTTTAATTCTACAATGTTTTATTTTATTTTTTTCTTTGGGGTTAGAGTTTGTTTTGACAGAATATGAAATTGATTGAGCGGGTATAAATTAAATTTTTTATTTTAAAATTGCTTTATTAAAATTTGGTAAATTTTAAGTTAAAAAAATATAAAATTATTTAAATTATTAATATTTTATTATAATTAATCAAATTCTTTATCTTTTATTTCAATTAAATTAAATTTTAAATGAATAAAATTTAATCAATCAAATTGAAATTTAAAAAAAAAATGTAAAAGACGAGAGAGAAAATAAAAATATTTTTTTAATTTAATTTTCATATATATTAATTATGTTATATGATAAATTTTCATCTATTTATTAGTATCACATAAAATTTTATTTTAATTGATAAAAATTAATGATATTAAATTTTTTATTCAAATAAGAGTTTAATTAGATATAAATAAATTATTTGAGTTGTTGGTTGGTTTTAATAAAAAAAGAAATTATATATTTTTTAATTATAATTTAAAGATTTTTATACTTTTTAACCTAAATTTTAGTTTGATTTTAATTATTAGCAAATTTTTTATTACTTATACATAAATTTAATGTAAATTTTACAATATGTCCTGATTTAAAAATTAAATAGTCTCTTCCTACTTAAATTATTTTTCCACACAAAAAAGTAGTATACGAAAGGTTTTTGGGTATTTAATGCATTAATAATGTGGTTCATGCTTTTCTTTTGTTCTTGATGATCATCCTCAAATAAATGCATAAAAATTTGGTTTTGCTCGAAGCAAGTGAAAAGGGTGAAGAAGACATGGTTACCTTATCTTGCCTTGTCTCAATTCCAAACAAAAAAGGACAAAAAATGGAGAAGAATCGAGTATATATTATTCAAAGAAGAATCAAATTTCAAAGATTTAAAATGATTGGAACCAACCAAATTAATAAAGAAAAAGAAAGAAGATAGCATATTAAACTTGATTATAAGAAAAATTAATATAGATGATAATAGTTTAAATTAAATCAAATTTAATTCGATTTTTTTAATATTATATAATATTATAAAAATTTAAAATTGATTTAAATTTAAATTGATTTTTTTATGTAATTTATCGATTTGATTGGATTTATTATTTTTTAAAATTTAAAATTTTGTTTTTATATTATTTAATATAAAATTTTAATATATTTAAATAAATTTTGATATAAAATTATTGTTTTGATATAAAAATTTTAAAAATATATAATTTAATTCAATTTATTTTTTTTAATATATATCATTCGATTCAAAATTTGATTTAAATTTAATATATATTTAATATTTTAATAAAAATAAATTAAAATCAAATGAACATTATAATTCTAACTTAATTTTTAATTTTCTCGATTTAAATCATAGGCATGTATTGTAGGGATTACAAGCCTTTGGTGAAACTTTCTTACTAGTGTCTAATAATGCTAATTCACCAATAAAACATTCATAAAAAAAAGAACTTTTTTGTTTATAAAATTTAATTATAAGCTATCCAAAAGTTATGTAGCTAATCACTTGCATCATTATTGTCCGACCAAAATGATTTTGTAAATTTTGGCCCCCCCAATACCGGTGTTGTTGGGTGCAACATCCAATTTGAGACTGAGAAACACCCCCACAAAACGGGCAAGGAATTGGGAAGTGAATCGGTGAATCCCATATGGTCGAGACACCCAAGCTCCCAGTAGGCCAAGGTCGTGGTCTCCAAACTACTGACACCCACCGCTTCCCTACAAAATGACCACACATGTGGGTGTCTATGTGGGTGTCTGAGCCACCCACGGCCCCTACCCTCCCCCTCCCCTCTTTTCTGACTCCTCTTTCATTTGCTATTTAATTGTTTCATTTTCCACAGTGATACGGTAATTAATATTCAAAGATTTGCCATTGGCATAAAGGCTGCTTTTTGACATCGAAGTCCATAATTTTTACTACCAAGATTTATGCAGTCTAGCCTGACATTCTAGGTTCCTACTAAAAGACATCGACATTTAAAAAAACCCTTTGTTCAACGACGATGTGGTAGTGGGTTGATATCATCATCATCATCATAACTCAATGACTCAACCTGATCAACGGCTAAGATTAGTAGAATAAAAGGCCTAATCAAAAGTATGATGAGATGCATAACATGCAGATAGGATAAAATATATCACCTAACACCTACCGTATAAGAATCATGCATGTCTGACAGAGAACAACCATTTTCAACTCACTCGTGAGAGACGAGAGTGAAAGCAAGTACTCTACAAACACACTGTGATCCGAGATGCACGCATCGAACCGGCGCGTGAAGATAGGGATACACAAGGTGCATGGAGCATGAAACGCATGGACGGATGATTCAGGTTTTTTATCAGGTCGGTGGGGATAACTTCGTGGAGACAGGACAGTAGGAGAGGAGAGGCCGATCGTTGACCTGTAAAGTAAAAACTTCAACCAACACGTGCCGGTTAAACAGGTTAAAATTTCAATTAAATTCGCATTTCCAATGAATATAAATGTTCAGTGGAAGTAAAGCTTCCCTCTGGATTTCGCAAGTAGAAAAAAAGGGCAAAGAAAGAGAGAGAGAAAGAGAAAAACAGCAGTAGATCTCAAGCCTTTTTAGTTGCAGAGATCTTTTTGGGGTTATCGGTATAGAAATTAGAAAAAAAAAAAAAAAGGGGAAGAGGAGGTAGCGAAATCCCACTAGTTTGTCTCTTTTCTTTTCTTTTTTTTTTTTCGCATTTGATCCCATGCTCGTATCGTTAAGCTTTGATCTTAACCTTTTGTCTTCTGTCGAAACCTTAGATCGATCAAAACAAAAACCCTCTTTTTCTTTTTCTTTTTCTTCATCTCATCGAAAAAGATAAACAAAGGTGGATTTAGATAGAGAGTGTGTTTGTTACTTGCGTTGTTGGTTCTTTGAAGCTTAAAGTCTTTATTTTTTCTTTTGGGGTGACACTGAAAAATGGGTACTGGTTGGAGAAGAGCTTTTTGCACTACAATCCCCAGAGAACCTGAAACCACTGTTTTAGACAAGCAACATCAGCAAAGTCCAAGTCCCAGCCCCAGAAGTTGTGCCAAGTTAAGCTTCTTTTCTAGTGGAAGTAACCCTTCTACTCCTCGTTTTCAATCTCAACCAGTTTCTAGCCCCAGCATCCGTTGCCGCACTACTGTTGAACTATCTTCCACAAACGAAAGCCCCCCTCTCCAATGCAAAACAACCCCTAAAACAGCCACTAAAATTCCTAAACCAATTCTCTCCTCAAATCCTTCCTCTCCTCGTTCTCCTCTCAAGCTCTCACTTTTCCGCAACAGCTTCAAGTTCAGAGTAAGTAATAACACAATTCTGAATTCTAACATTCAAAATGTAGCTAAATTTGGAATCTTTTGTTGGCTTTTAGACTAAAGATATTTTTTTTATTTGGCAGAGTAGTTGTGGAATCTGTTTGAACAGCGTGAAGACAGGTCAAGGAACAGCTATTTACACAGCAGAATGTGCACATGCCTTTCATTTTCCATGCATAGTTGATCATGTTCGTAAACATGATTCCCTCGTTTGCCCTGTTTGTAATAGCACCTGGAAAGATGTCCCTCTTCTCTCCATTCACAAGAACCCAACTCCTCCTGAAAATGACACTGTTCTAATAGAAAACACCACCCCCAGAATTGAAGAGAAAAAAATCATTGAATCTTATTCACCCAGAATTGTTAACCAGCAAGAACCCAAACCCAAACCCAAATCCAAATCCAAACCGTCTGATTTAAGATCCTACGATGATGATGAGCCATTGCTATCCCCAACCGCCGGTGGCCGTTTCAATCCCATTCCAGAAGCTGATGAAAACATTGAAGAAGAAGATGAAGTCGAGGAGTTCCAAGGATTCTTCGTTAATCCGAACCATTCATCAGCCGTCAAATCCGTTGAAGTACTCCCATTCAATAGCCCTGATTGGGGGAATGTCCAGGTCAGGCTATCAACCGAAACGGCGGTCGTTTCAGTGGGCCGTGGATACGAAACTTACGCCGTGGCTTTAAAAATCAAGGCCCCACCACCTCCCCCTGCAAAAATACAAGCTGCTTCGAGGAATAGCAATACGGCAACGCATTGGGACCCTTCCCATCGTGCGCCTATCGATTTGGTTACTGTTCTTGATGTGAGCGGAAGCATGACCGGTTGTAAACTCCAGATGTTGAAACGCGCCATGCGTTTAGTCATTTCCTCGCTCGGCTCTACTGATAGGCTTTCTATCGTGGCCTTCTCGGCTTGTCCAAAACGGTTATTGCCTTTGCGGAGAATGACGGCTCAGGGACAAAGAGCTGCTAGGCGCATTATTGACCGGCTCGTCTGCGGTCATGGGACAAGCGTTGGCGATGCGTTGAGGAAAGCTACGAAAGTGCTTGAGGATCGAAGGGAGAGAAATCCGGTAGCTAGCATTATGTTGTTATCCGACGGCCAGAACGAGAGAGTCCAGTCTAATGCTACAATTCAACGGCATCATTCAAGCCATGTGTCGTCTACTCGTTTTGCTCACATTGAAATTCCGGTTCACGCGTTCGGGTTTGGGCAAAGTGGCGGTTACAGTCATGAGCCGGCTGAGGATGCGTTTACTAAATGTGTTGGTGGGTTGTTAAGCGTTGTGGTCCAAGATTTGAGGATCCAGCTCAGCTTCGCATCTGGCTCAGCTCCAGCTGAAATCACAGCTGTTTATTCATGTAATGGAAAGCCTACTGTTTTAACTTCCGGTTCGGTGCGGCTTGGCGACTTGTACGCCGAGGAAGAAAGGGAATTACTCGTGGAGCTGAAAGTGCCGACATGGGCGGTTGGGTCCCACCACGTGATGTGTGTTCGCTGCCTTTACAAGGACCCCGCTTCGCAAGAAGTTGTATACGGCAGAGATCAGGCGCTTCTCATGCCTCCTCCTCACGCCGTTCGATCATCAGCTCCCAGAATCGAACGGTTGAGATTCTTTTTCATCACGACTCGAGCCGTCGCTGAGGCCAGGAGGTTGATCGAGTGCGGTAACGACTTGACAAGCGCGCACAATTTGTTGGCCTCAGCGCGAGCTTTGTTGATGCAGTCGAATTCGTTATCAGCTGAGGAGTACGTGAGAGAGTTAGAAGCTGAGTTGGCTGAATTGCATTGGAGGAAACAGAAGATGATGGAAATCCAACGGCGGAGGGTGAACGAAAGGGAGAGAGAAAGGGAGGCGATGATGGTGGCGATCGATGAGAATGGGGAGCCACTTACGCCGTCATCGGCTTGGAGAGCTGCTGAGAAATTGGCTAAAGTAGCCATCATGAAGAAGTCGTTGAATCGTGTCAGCAATTTACACGGTTTCGAAAATGCTAGGTTTTAGTGTTTTTGTTTTTTTTTTAATTTTACTTTTTATATAAAAATGGAGAAAAATGAAGGGACCAGTATTGTTATGTTGAATTAAAATCCCCATTTTCTACTGTGCAGGAAAGAAAAGGAAAAGTTTGTATTTTAATTTTAGGGATTTCACATGTTTCGTCATCTTCATCATCCTACAATATTGTAAATGCTAGTGTAATTGGGTTTTTTACAACTTTTTTATCGCTTTTTATATTTGGCAAGTGGGATTTTAATGCTTTTATTTTTTTTATTCACGTTAAACATTATAATGTTATCCTTTTGGTGGGTTTCAGAGATGTTAAAGGTCAAGTTAAAAAAAAAAAAAAACAACAAGATGGTGCGGAATGATTGGGGTAGCTAGGCCTAGGACTCGTAAATGATAATGATGAATGAATCATTTTCGTGTTATTATATTCTCTTTGTTTATTGCTATTATTTTGCTTTTGAATTCTTGAATTATAATAACAACTAGACCTTTTTCTTTTTATAGACTTATGACATAGAAGATGCGTTTCTCCTTCAGCCCCACATTTCTGTATCAAACTATATAGCACATTGAAATGAAAATTTGTGTGAAAAAATGAAACATGTGAGCAAATTATATGAATTTTCCACCAGTGAGTATCCTTCTGAATAAACTCAAGACATCTATTGATGATTTAGACTAGAGCAATCGTTTGATAGGGTATTATATTCCTAATTTCCTGTGTAAAAAAAAAAATCCAATACCAACCAAGTTTAATTTATGAAAATATTTGCCTGAATACTGAAGGAAGGGTGGGATCAGGGATGGTTATGGCAGTAAGTTAGCTACAGTCCAATCAGTCACAATCTCCCGCCGTGGGTTCTTCTGTCCTTGATTGTGGCATTGAGGCATGGTGATTTTGAGTTCTTCTTCTCTCTCGTAGTAAGATGTTTACAGCTCTCTTATCCGTACTTGAAACAGGCTACCCTCTGTCTGGTTCACGGCCCAGTGCATGGCCCCCACGGATGATAGATCTGAAACTCCAACAAAACTCTTATAAGAAGCCGACGGTGGGGATTTGGCTGCCAACAGACCAGACACAGCAACGGCACAGATGTATATCATAATCTGACACTTACTGGGGTCCACTCCTCAAGCTTTTCCTTCCCTTGGTTGGCTTTAGTAAAATAGCAGTACTCAGTTCAGATAACTCTACAGTTAAAAAGAGTTTTTACCAGTTATCCAGACGCGGGCAACCGAGGGAAGGGATTTGGCTTTTGCTTTGGGATTATGGTTGTCACTTGTAATTCTAAAAAGTACATTTGGTGTGTTTCAAGAGAATTGTGATTTTGTTGAATTCTAGAACTAAGAAAAATGGGTTGGTTTTTCATTTTTTTCCGTGAGGATGTTAGGGACTGAGAAAAAGCTTATTTGAAGGCAAACTAATGTTTAAGATGCAGCTTTGGGTGCTTAGCTGTGAATGGAGACCCCTTGAAAGAATTGTAGTGTACTTTGCAAGTAGTGTTGTTCAATGGGAGCTGACTCTTTCAAACATTTTGGGGAATTTTGGAGAGGGGGAAAGAGTAGGGACCCAAAAGGATTTTCTTGTTTTTGTCGGGGCCCCTTTGCAACTCTCCAATTTCCTAAAGATTCTTGCAAGAAAGATCCAAACTCCTAATTTGATAGATTTAACAGCGCAAGGACCTTTTTTTTCTGAAACTGGCCATCTATTTTCCAAATCAAAAGCTTGTGTCAAGGATTTACATTTTACAACCTAGCATGAATTTTGAACTGAAGTTGGCATTATATAAGTTTCAAACTGATCTATGGCATTCATTGAATATTTTAAATCCCAATGCCATATCAATCACAATTTGCCATAGCTTGCAAGTATCTTTAGCTGCGCAATTAGTGTTATTAGCCAACTAATGACATAATATAATTCTAATCTTGTTCAAAGGCATAAAAACATCATGGACCCAAGTTGCAGTTTATAATGACGGACAGGGCAACCAGTGGTTACGAAAACCTGCACGTCTTCTCATTTTCACTCGGTTGTCCTTGGATTCCTAGACATAGCCAAAAAAAAAAAAACATGGCCCTTTTGTAACACCTCTATCATCATTATTGTTGGATAATGAAGAACGCTGCTAGGGAATTTTAACCACAATTGTGTAATCTCTTACCTGATATTTATTGAGCCATTTGGTTTTCATGGTCCGTAGTGTGTTTGGGTTAATGTACATTATACAGTCGGGATTCCTATGGAGTCTTACTGTTGTCAATGTGGCTCCTAATGCTAACAATTGCAGCCATGATCAGACAACTTAGCTAACAAGGGACAACCTTACTTTTACGTGTCTTCTTCCCTTTGGTTTTTAAAGAAAAAAGAAGTTTGGAGGGTAGGGAAGTCACAGCAAATTAGATTTGTTACGTTGGAACTAATAGTACAATCTGTAGGAAATTCCTTGGTCACGAAATTGTCTGCCACGGAGGCACCTGTTTGCACCTGACCCTCCTTACAATGTTCATTTGTCCTGTGGTGCATTCATGTAGTAACCGAGCACTCGACTTTTCTCAAAGTGGTTGAATACTCTCGGTCTTGGACTGCTCCTCTAGCAGGTACTCTTATGTCTATCCTCCATAACAAAGACAGGCCTTCAACAGTTCAATAAAAACTATTTCAGCAGAATCTCCGATAAAGTCCTAAACAAGAAATTAGAGCTGGATGCTGTTCAATCCTCCATGCTGGCTAGTTTTTCGTCTCATCTATTACTCTTGAGAAAAAGCAGTTCGATATAGGCTTCACGGAACTCAATATTTTTACCCGATACCACCATAAATAGATTTCTTTGCTAGAAATGAGAACTTGAAAATCACTAATTTATTTTTTCGTTCACTTGTACTTTTGTTGCATAGTTGATCTGTAATCCCATTTTTTTAGCGAGTTCTTACTTTGAATGAATAAAACACACCACATTTATCCAAAAAGAAAAAGACTAATGAGCCTTTTTTCGATAACACATGGTAGAGTTTGAGGTAGCTTTCCAAAAAGCCCATAGGCAGAAATTCTTTGTATACAATATGCATTAAGCCTTTTCTCATTTGGGTTTTTAATATTTCACCAATTTGGCTATTATTCCCTGGCAATCACACTTGTACTTTTGGCATTGACGACTGTGATACTTAAATCTCCACAAACAACAGCCAACTTGTGAAGCCATTTATGCCAGAACCAAAGTGAACAATTATCCAACAAAAATTTGATATTGCCAGTTTTCACTTAACAAAAATAATGAAAATCCCAATACATACATTTACGAAAAATTCCAGCTCTATATTAAAATAAGCGGCAAATTAATTACAGTGATTAATATTGTTCCCATAGATATCATAAATTCTACCGATGAATCGATATACAAATCAAGCTTGCCTCATACTGCACGCTACAAAGCCGAAAGACCACTAACAAACAAGCTGTAGGAACGTGAAGCCAAATGAGAATCAAGCAAAGTTGTCTTACACCAATTAATGAATTGAAAGATGCCCCATAAGGACCTCAAATTGATCAGTTACTCGATTACAGCAGACCAACACCAGTGACAATGTGAGGAAGGTTTCCTCTTATTTGATTGTGAGGAAGTGTAATTGATTGTAATGTGAGATATTCCTTATTGATGATTACTTTTGGCTTTGTTCTACCTTGGCTCGAATTTTCTGTTCAAAAAGAGATATATCTGACTCAAGGCCGAACATTCTGTTAAGCGCATGCATATTCTCAAGGGTCTCGTTCAGAGTTCGACTATCACTACCATCACATCTCAGGTGCTGCATTGGACCATGTAGAAGTTTATTCACAATACCACGGCTGAGATCATCCACAGCCCTCCTTGTTTTCTTTGGGATATCATCACCCATCTTTGATAAGCATTTCTCTAACTCTGCAACTCTAATTCTCTCTGCGTAGGCTCTCAGCTTCTTGATGGTAGGAACAGTTTCCAGTGAATCCCTCCATGCTTCAAACTGTTTTGATTCCTCAGCAATAATGGCCTGAGCTTCCATTGCTTTTCGTAGTCGGTCCTCTTTATTAGCAGCTACAACCTCCTTCAGGTCATCAACATTGTAAACCCGTGTACCTTCAACATCTCTGACACATGATCCCACATTCCGTGGAACAGAGATATCAATGAAGAGCCTCAAACTGCCAACTTCAGAACTGACAAGAGGGAGATCCTTGACATGCTCTTTCAAAAACAATGGGGTTTCTGATGCTGTACTAGTAAAGACCACATCAGCTTCAGCTGCACAAGCCAGCATTTCTGTAAGGGGTTTGTAAATAATCTCAACACCTTTCATCTCCTCATGGATTGCAGCAACTTTCTCCTCACTTCTGTTAACAACCACCATCTTGGTGCAACCTTTCGCTACCAAGTGCTTGATCACAAGCTTTCCCATCTTCCCTGCTCCAATAACCAACATTCGAGCAGTAGCATGCGAGGACTCAGGAAGCTTCATCAAAGCCAGTTCAACAGCAGCAGAGCTAACAGAAACAGCCCCAGCAGCAATGTTAGTCTCTGTTCTAACCCGCTTCCCAACAGTAATTGCATGCTTGAATAGCCCACCAATATTCCTTCCAAAGCCAACAACACCTTGCCCAACTTTGACAGCCTGTTTAACTTGTGCAAGAATTTGGCCTTCTCCAAGAACAAGAGAGTCAAGACCAGCAGATACTTCAAAGAGATGCTTTGTAGCATCCTTGTTGTACAACAAAAATCGGTGCTCGCAAATCTCTGAAACTGGGATGCCACTAGTCTGCAACAAAATTGTTGTTAGTTAAACAATTACTGCCAGATTTAAAGTTATCATATAAAATTGAGAAGCTAATTTTATAGAGGTAAATATCACAAACTATAGAGCCCAAAGAGTAATGTACCTTTGACATCCATTCAGTTACTTCTTTGACTCCACGATGCTGGGATAGAGCCACAACATATATTTCCATCCTGTTGCAGGTGCTAAGAACAGCAGCCTCTTCTATATGATTCAAACCACATAACTCGCCAATGACTCGTGGCCATTCTGCTTCTGGAATGGCAAGTTTCTCACGCATCTCCACAGGTGCAGTGTGAACACTAAGCCCTATGACCACAATGCTGCTCCTTTCCTTTGTATATCCTGGCATGGACCAATCACAAGATTTTCAGTAAAACAATTGTACAGGAAAATTAACATGCATATTATGCTAAAAGGGTATCATATCTAAATATTTGATGCTTAAAATTTAGAAGTTTCCAGGTATTAAAGGCATGAAATTATGCCGATTTAACCGAGCTCACAATGTAGGGAACCATATGCAAGCTACAATCATTTTTAGGAGTCCGGTCATGGAAACACTTTCCTTCGTCTTCAAAACTTCAGGAACTAGCTATTATTTACACAGTAAGATAATAAAATTCCAAGATACATATTAAGGAATAGTTTCTACATTGAAGGCATAGCTCAAAGTTTGATTTCCCATTCAATCAGCAAACAAAAGCAAAAGTAAGCAATTGTATGCATCGAGGTAGAAAATACACCCACAATTCTTTTGCAATAATATTTTTATTCATCTCATACAGAATAAACCTATACAAACAGACCAAACACAAGAATCTAATACTTTATTCTGTG